TATACCTCAATTTTTTTTAAAGTATCAAGTTAAAACATTTTTAAATTAAATGTCGTTAAAGATAAAGGGTTTGGCTATTTCCATCTGCTTCCTTAAAGGAAGCCCACCATTATTTTAGGTAACTCTAGACAGTTATTATGGACCCTCTCAGGATTAATGACTCCAGGGGGGAAGAGCAAATCCCCTGGGGCTGCTGACTAAGCAAAGGGCAAGCTGCTCAGAAAAGCAGGATGAATTAACCCCAAGGAAGCCCCAGAGGAAGAGCAAATGAGGGGAAACACAGCTCTGTTTTGCTTGGAGATGGGCTGCAACATCAAGTGTTATCAAAAGAAGTTGAGGGTGAAAGACTGTTCTCTGTTGGTTTGCAAAGTATAGAAATAAAGAGGTCTCTAAGCAAGGGAGTGGGGAATTAACATGCTTTTAGCACATTCTTTGCATCAGGAACCTTACCTCTGGTATTTCATTCATCTTTACAATGATTTCATGAGGTAGATGCTATGATCATTGCAATTTTAGTGATAAGCGCACAGCCTCAGAGAGGTGAGGTGACTCACATAATGTTCCACACCTTAAAATTGTTAGAGCTGGCAAGATATGGAAAGAACCTAAACAGCCATTAACAGATGAATGGATAAAGAAAATGTGGTATATATAGAAAATGGAATATTACCCAGCCATAAAAAGAATGAAATAATGCCATTTGCAGCAACATGGATGGACCTAGAGATTATCATACTAAGCGAAGTAAGTCAGACAAAGACAAATACCATATGAAATTACCTATATGTGTAATCTAAAATATGACACAAATGACCATATGTACAAAACAAAAACAGACTCACAGACATAGAAAACAGACTTGTGGTTGCCAAGCGGGAGGGGAGGTTGGGGAGGGGTGGATTGGGAGTTTGTGATTAGCGGATGCAAACTATTATATATAGGATGGATAAACAACAAGGTCCTACTGTATAGTACAGGGAACTATATTCAATATCCTGTGATAAACCATAATGGAAAAGAATATGAAAAAGAATGTATAACTGAATCACTTTGCTGTACTGCAGAAATTAACACAACATTGTAAATCAGTTATATTTCAATAAAATAAACTTTAAAAATTTTTTAGAGCAGAGACTAGAACTCAGGTCTGCCCAAATCCAGATATATTTCTCTTCCCATATTCCCATCAATAAATCCAAAACAAAACTCCTTGCCCACCCTAAACTTGCTCCTTTTATTCTGTTTCTCTGTCTTGGTGAATGGAGGCCACCATCCAAACCATTACTTAAGCCAGAAATTTGGATGTCATCTAGACTCCTCAACTCACCTCCTGTATCCAGGCTGACATCAAATGCTTCTAGAAATTCTACCTCATTAACATCTTTTGTATCCATCCTTTCTGTCTGTCTCCACCATTCTCTGTCGGGCTGGAATATTGATGTTTGGGCATATGTGTTAGGATAGAGGCTGGCTATCTAAAATTGGAGCCACTGAACTTGAAACTATTATTCCAATTCTACCTGGCATCTCCAGCACTTAGAACGCATATTTCATTAAATATTGGATGAGCAAATGAATGTTTAAATTAATGAGTTAACAGATGCTAATATCCCCATTTTGAGCTTCTTAAACTCTTTAGTGATTCTCTATCACCTTCAGGATAAAGCCCAAACTTCATATATATACCACTTGACCCAAATGATATAACTGCTGACCACCTCTGCTTCAGCTTGAATTCAAGCTACTCTCTATCTTCCTTTCAACACTCCATTCTTCACTCACACTGACCCTTTTTTTTTTTCCATGAAAGTGCCATGTTCTCTTTTGCACATTGGTCTTCAATCTTTCCCTTGTGTGACCACCATACAACCCCCTTCCCCCTAGCTTCCACTTTTCACCTCCTTAGCTCCTACTCAGCACCTTAAATGGTATATTATTTGGAAAGTTTTTCCTGACACCCCAAGTCCAAGTTTTTAGCATTGATAGAACTAAATCCAAGATAGGTTAAGTGACTTGCCCAAGGCCACACAGCTTGGAAGTAGCAGAGTCAAATTTTTGTCCTGCTTTATCAGACTCCAAATATACATTATATCCTTTATATCACTCCTCACAACTCAGGGAGATAATGGGTTAAGTGACTGGCCCAAGATCACTCGCCTAAAATGGTGCAGTTTTTGTAGCCCCAAATCCAGGTACATTTTGCTACACCAGAGCAATTCCATTTCACTGGTGTTGAAAGAGTTTTTCTTTATGAAGGGGAGGGGTATTTATTTTGCTATTGAAAAAACTACAAAAGATTCCTCATCATTATAAATTGAAAAACCAGCTCCTGGACAAATATCCCAAGGGTAAATACCACTACCAATAAAAAAAAATCACTAAGCAGTTCTTGGCTTTCTTATCCAGCTTGAATAGTGCTCAGTCCTGGCAATGCTTCCCCTCTGCCTCTTTCAGAAAACGAGGCCTGGTGGCCTTTATGATGGGCTCCCAAGGGAATGGGGTAAGCTGACTCACTATATTCTCTCACTGGGTAAGCCACTAGGTACCCACTGTGCTGGTCAATACAGTCATTTAGCAATCAGGTAAATGTAAGTCTTGAGATGTTTCAAACCTCTTATTTTGACTTTAGCTTCCAAAAACCATCAAAATAAAATGTGCTTTTGGGGGCTTCCCTGGTGGCGCAGTGGTAGAGTCCACTTGCCGATGCAGAGGACACGGGTTTGTGTCCCGGTCCTGGAAGATCCCACATGCCGTGGAGCGGCTGGGCCCGTGAGCCATGGCCGCTGAGCCTGCGCGTCCGGAGCCTGTGCTCCACAATGGGAGAGGCCACAACACTGAGAGGCCCGCGTACTGCAAAAAGAAAAAAAAATGTGCTTCTGGGAATTCACAAACAACAGCTGCTCTTCCCCTTCACTATGCTTCTACAAAGATAGAACTGCAGCAGGCAGGAGGCATATCAGACAGAACTGTCAAGTATGGTGATGGGATTATTGTTTTGAAAACTCTCCATCTAAACCTCAGAGAAGCAAACAGTTCAGGCTTAAAAGGAGGTCACCCTCCAAGGATGCTCATTATTACTACTGGTATCTGTGGCTATTGGGAGGTTCCTAGTAAAGCTAGAAACCTGACCTTCTCTATTCTTTCTGAGTGCTCAAAAGCCTTAGCTTTGGTCTTATCCTCCCTTTTTCTATCCAGAAAAGTCCCGGTCCCCATGTTGAAGAGGCAAAACTAAAACACGAAAATCTTCAATTTTTTTGGCCATGCCACGCAGCTTGTGGGATCTTAGTTCCCCAACCAGGGATCAAATCCATGTCCCCTGCAGTGGAAGCATGGAGTGCTAACCACTGGACCTCCAGGGAATTTTCACTTATCTTTAAAATCGTTACCTTATTCCGTTTCTCCTCCTGCTTACCCACTCCCATCATCATTCTGGAGAGTCCTACCAAGTGCAACACTAGAGATGCTGTTGATATTTAACAGTGATCAATTTCATCAAATAAATTGACTTGAAAAGTAAGATGAGGTTTTTACCAAATACATTTTCTTCACTGGATTATACTTTGGTGGGCATATTCCAGCAATTCTGGAGTCCCATATCTATCCTGCATCCCCAAAGACTCTTGGAAATTCAGAAAGGAAAAGTTTGACTAATATTCTCAGAGTTCATGTGTAAATATCAGCACCCCCTATCTCAGATTACAGATATGCAAAGAAGCTTCAAAAAACCAGGACATTTCAGGGGTCAGACGCCCTTCTCAGTAATCTAACTGAAGGCATTAACAAATTAAAGACATGTCAATCACAAAGGGAGTTTGTCAACCATGCAATGAGAGGAAAAGGAATCACTGAAGCCCAAGTTGGCAGCTCCCAGCCAGCACTGCCCAGGCGAGAGTGTTCCCTTGCTCAAGAACTTTACTTACCCATATGGTAGAGTTGACTGTGCCTGGAACAGGGCCTGGAACATACTAGGATCTCAATAATAATTTGTTAATGAAATGACTAAATGAATGAATAAGTGACTTAAAAGGTGTCAATGACAGGGCCTTTGTGGAGACAGATGTGTTATCAGGCTATCCAGTACTAGGATCATAAATCTAATTCCTTTAAATCTGACTCTTCTGTCCTTTAGCATATTATGTAACTGATGAGAGAACCCTAGTGTTCCCAGTCCCACTGTAAATGGTAACACTGGCCTCTTGATTTTAAAATACCAGTTTCTGACTTCAGATTTGTGGAGTGCTGACAGATCAGGCTTCTGAGTCTGTAGTCCTGAGCCATATCTTGGACACCAGCAAACTCACTAAGGTAATGCTACTGGGGGTGGAATAAAGGGTTCTGGATGTCAATTAGCCTAATCCAGGTGACATTATTCTATCTGATCATCATATTTCTACTACTGTACTTTCTGTAAAAACAACACTAATGCCCAAGATGCCATTATTTCCCCCCATGCAACCAATTATTTTCTTAAATCTTATCTTGAAGAACCATTGTCCCTGGGACTGATACATGCCTCTTGAGACTTCTACTAATTGGTTCATAACAGTCATTAAAGCCTTACTGTATGCCAAATTCTATGCCCTTTGAGGGCCACAGAAACTAATGTGCAGTGGCAATATTACAGGACTAGGCAGCTACTGACAGATGAGTCTTTGGATACAATTGTACATGGGGTCATGGGAAGAGTCCTGGACTGGAAGTCCCAGCTCTGCATTCATCTTTCCCCTACTTTCACTCACAGGGTGGAATGGAGGATCAAATGAACTAATGGATGTGAAATTGCTTTTTAAATTTTAGTGTTATCCATTGGCGACCCTCTATTACTACTACTATCATCATCATCATCATTTTCATTATCATTATCACCATCATGATTATCAGTCTACTACTGTTAAGGAGAGAAGATACAGTTAGATGGCTGTATGCTAACTTAAGATTCCATTTCCCTCAAGACCAAGCTGCCCATGGGACTATAGTTAGTGCTACTGCCACTCTCGGTAATGCCACGATTGCTACTTACAGAGCAGCCCTCCACAGAGCAAACGGGATCAGATGCTGTGACACCCAAATTGCTGGGTATCAAATCTCTCCCATTATCTTCCCAAGGAACACAGTGTATTGCAGCTGGAAGGAGACAGTCTGACTTAAAGCCAAATCATGCTGGCTTCAAGTTGCTAGAATCAGCTCCTCGGAAGGTGAATTTTGTGAAGCTAGGGTACTGTGCCCCCCATTTAGTTGGATCTGTATTTGAGCTGTACATTCAGAAAGCTCTTCTGTCACTTTTTGTCAAAGATTTCTCTTTGAGTAGCTTGAAATATGTATTAAAAATTTAGCCTAAAGCAGTGTCTTTTGAATCCCCAGCTCACTAATTCAGGTACTGGAGCACTGCGAGTGTACACCACTAACCTGCAAATGGATAAACTACTCAAAAGACATTTTCCACCCCTTAAATACAGTTCCAAGAAAGAATAGGAAATGCCTCATACCTCTAATGGAAGCTATTTGCTACAAAAACAAATCATCAGGTCCGTGGAGCTAGAAATGCCTTTTGCAAATAAAAGTGAAAGGAAGAGACAGCAAAACAGCAACTAAAACCATGCAGTCATCACCCACAAAGCACATGATTCAAATAAAAATGAAATACTTATTTGAAAAATGGGTTACCTACACACCCAACAGCAGTTGTCAGTTTATGTATAAAAGAAAACAACCAGCATTTTGTATGAATTTCAAAGGAAATAAACTATTTGTTCCTTGTTAGTAGCTAATGTAAATATCAGAGCAAATAGCATTTTTTTGATTCCAGTAAAATGTAGAACATTTCCAAATGCTCGTACATAAATCCTGACATCAAAATGTACATCTCTTAAGATACTGAAAGATGAGCTCCAAATGATGTGCTTAATACATTTGTTCTTTCTTGAAGAGATGAGGTATAATTATATCAGTCATCTTGTAGCTAGGAATTATATGAAGAACCCTGAACTATAAGTACTAAATCAAACTAAATAGCCTCTTATCCTATTTTTCTCTCTTATACTTGTCATTACTTCCTGAAGTCCTCATTACAACTGCATAATTCTACCCACTGCCCTCCACCCTCCGAAACCCCATAGGTTTTCTTCAGAAAAGGAGGGTAGCATTCCCCTTCTCCTTTCCCTCAGAACCACAGTTTTCTCCCCACAAATATTCATGGGGTGAGACTCACAGACAAATTATTTCAATGAGCAATAATAACTTTTTGGGTAGGACAACTAAGTTATTTCTGCTTTTTCTTCTTACATGTATTTAGATTTGCTGTTGTTAACCCTTGAGAAAAGAGAACCTGTTCTAGAAGAAAGGTTAGTGGGAAAGCATGAGCTACGCTGTGATATTAAATACAGATTTCTTTTTCCAAAGCTAAAACCTACAGTCCTTCGTTCGGTCCTAAAGAAGACATAATATCTCCAGCTAATGGGCTGTCCACAAATGACCATTATTGAATGAATAATAAAGGAATAATAGCAATGTGATTTCCACTTACATCAACCACAAAAATCTTCTGGGAATCATCCAAAAACTGCACTTTTAAATGTAGCATTCTCGGAGAGGCTGTTGGGCTGTGAGCAGGCTCAGAGTGCTGTGAGTTCTGTGACAGGAAGGGGGCTTTCTCAAGGAATTTCACTCTTAGCTGGAGGCAGTGCGCTCGGGTCCCCCCACCCCCATCCAGGCATCCCTAAAATATCAGATGGGTGATAACATTCAATAAACATGGCGTGTTCTCTTAATGTAAGGTACCGTTATTGCTGGTAGCGATTGAACAGTAAATGATTGCTGAATGAATTATTGCTGATCTCTTCCCCCCACCCCCCCCCCCCCCCCCCCGCAGCAGGGCACACTTCTGTTTGCTTGAACTGATGCACACTCAAGGACATGTGTGCTGATGATCAATAGCATCTGGGCTACCTCCTATTTGGTCAACGTCAAATCCAACTGGACTCACTCTAGCCCTCTTAAACTCGGTTCCTTTCTTCAAAGAAAAAGAAGAAAGAAAACACTTGCAACCCCTGGGGATTTTCTTTATTTCACAGGAGCACGATTTTGAAAACCCTAGATGAAGCTTTGATAAACTGAGAATAGCCATTCTCAAAAGTAAAAGGATTAGAGTTAGTCTCATATTGTACTAGAAATTTCATGGCTGAACTAGGAAACTTTATGTATAATAATTGTAATTATTTTGAATGTATGTGATTTAGAAATGAAAATTATATAAAAAGGAATATATGAAAAGCTCAATTCCACTTCTGTCCCCTCTATTCTGTGCCCCCATACATCCCTATCAGTAACCAATTTTATTAGTTTTTTGTTGTTGTTATTTAGCCTTCAGTGTTTCTTTATGCAAATACTGTACAAGAAAATACGAATGTATTTCTCATACATATGTAGCATGCTGTTAAACTGTTTTGTGCCTTCCTTTTCTTACTTCAGATATCATTGTTGATTTCTCTTTAGCTTTGCATGTAGAGCTTCCTGATTTTTTTACAGCTGCATAATTTTTCATGGTGTAGGTGAAATACAGTTGACTCAAATAATCCCCTATTTGTGGACATGGGTTGTTTCCAACTCTTTTGCTTTTATAAACAAAGTTTGAAATGAATATCCTCATATATATGTCATTTTATATGTATGTCATTTTATCTGTAGGATAGATTTCCAGAGGTGGAATTGTTGGACAAGGGTAACGTACTGGTAATTTTTATAACGACTTCTATTTCCTTCCATAAAGGTTGTTATGATTTGATTTGTGTCCCCCCAAATTCAAGTGTTTAAGTCCTAACCCCCAGTTACTCAGAATGTGACTCTATTTGGAGATAGGGTTTATAAAGAGGTAATTAAGTTGAAATGAGGTCATTAGGGTGGGCCCTAATCCAATATGACTAGTGTCCTTATAAGTCGAGGGCATTAAGACATAGACATGTACAGAAGGAAGACCATGTGAAGACACAGGGAAGAGAAGATGGCCACTTACAAGCCAAGGAGAGAGGTCTCAGAAGGAACCAACCCTTCCAGCACTTTGATCTCAAACTTGTAACCTCCAGAATTGTGAGAAAATAAATTCAAATAAATTTCTGTTCTTATAAGCCACCTAGTGTCTGGTACTTTGTAATGGCACACCTACCAACCTAATACAAGTATTGTACCAATTTGCAGTCCTACACACAATGTATGAGCGTTCCTATTTTCCCCAGGCTCACCAACAGAGTACAGTGTCAAACTTTTTGATTTTAGACAAATTGATAAGTGAGAAAAAGAATCTCAGTGTAGTTTTAAATTTGAATTTTTCATATTATGAGAGAAGTTGAGTATCTTTTCAGATGTTTCAGGGTATTCTTTTTTTTTTTTTTTAAATAAACTATCTTTCCATGTAGCTCCACACACTTTTTGAAAAAAATACTGGTTATTGTCCCTTTTCCTCAATCTCTAGAAACTCTTTAAAAACTAGGAAAATTATCCCTTTGTGATATGAATTACAAATATTTCCCCCATTTATCCTTTGTCTTTGCTTATGGTGTATGTGTATGTGTTATTTGCCATGAGAAATTATTTATTTTGGTGAAGTGAAATTTGTCAGGTTTTAAATGGCCTCTGGATTTGTGTCATAATTAGAAAGGCCTGCTTCACTTCAAGGTTTACCGTTAGTACTTCTATGGCTTCATTTTTTACATTTAAATCTTTGATCTATTTAGATTTTATCTTGATATATGGTGTGAAGTATGGATCAAATTTAATCTTTTTCCAAATAGCTACCCAGTTGTCCTGATGTCATTGATTAGAAAGTTCATTTTTACCCCCATCGATTTGAGAAGATGCCTTTATCATATATTAAATTGCCATATGCATTTGGGCCTGTTTTTGGATTTCTGTTTCCTTCCATGTACTAGTTTCACATTGTTTTAAGTTTTGTGGCTCTAGAGTATGTTTTAATATCCAATAAGGCTGCTCTACTCCACATTGCTCTATATTTACAGAGTTTTCCCTGCTATTCTTGTTTACTTATTTTTCTATATAAGCTTGTACAGTTTCAGGCAAAGAATCAGGTATATTTATAAAGATGTGCTAAAAATTATAAATTTATTTATGGAAAACATATCTTTCTGATGGTGAGTCTTCTTATTCATGGGGCATGTATGTCAATTTGTTCAGGTCTACTTTTATGTCCTCTTCTACAATGTTGTATTTAATATAAATTTTCAAACATCCACAAAACCAAAGAGTTTAGTACAATAAACTCCCATACATTCATAATCCAGATTAAAAACTGTTATGAGATGAACTGTGTTCCTCCCAAATTCATATATTGAAACCCTAACCCTCAGTACCTCAGAATGTGACTGTATTTGGAGATAGGGCCTTTAAAGAAATAAGTAAGTTCAAATGAGGCCTTTAGGATGGGCCCTAATCCAATCTGGCTGGTGTTCTTATAAGAAAAGAAAATTTTTACACACAAGAGAGACCAGGGATGCACACACACAGAGGAAAGTTCATGAGAGTGCACAGTGAGAGGGCAGCCATCTGCAAGCCTAGGAGAGAGGCCTCAGAAGAAACCAAACCTGCCAACACCTCGATCCTGGATTTCTAGCCTCCAGAATGGTGAGAAATAAATTTCTGTTGTTTATGCCATTTAGTCTGTGGTATTTTTTTATTAATAAATTTATTTATTTATTTTTGGCTGCATTGGGTCTTCGTTGCTGCACGCGGGCTTTCTCTAGCTGCGGTGAGCAGGGGCTACTCTTCGTTGTGGTGCGTGGGCTTCTCATTATGGTGGCTTCTCTTGTTGCAGAGCACGGGCTCTAGGCATGCAGGCTTCAGTAGTTGTGGCATGTGGGCTTTAGAGCACAGGCTCAGTAGTTGTGGCGCACGGGCTTAGTTGTTCTGCAGCATGCGGGATCTTCCCGGACCAGGGTGCAAACCCATGTCCCCTGCATTGGCAGGTGGATTCTTAACCACTGCACCACCAGGGAAGTCCCATACTATTTTTAAACTTTCTTTGCACTGATCTGTGCAACATGAACATTTTTCCATATTAGTACATTAGATCTATCTAGGTTTTTTTTTAATGCACTGTTGTATATTTTCTCAGTTCCTTTATTAATAGATATTTGGGTTGTTTTTCTCTTATGAACAATACTGCCATAAACATCCTTGTACATAAATCTTTGCACATTTGTGGTGACGTCTCTATAGGATAAATCTCTAGCACTTGAAATGGTGGATCACTGGGTCTGAAATTTTATCTTTTAATAGATACTATCAAGTTGCCCTTTGAAAATGTTATACCAATTTTCACTTTCAGCAAGAGTGTGCTAGCTAATATATCCAATGAAACATTAAATAATAGTGCCAATAGTGGGCATAATTTCCTTTCTCCTGACATTAGCAGGAATGCTTCCAGGGTTTCCCCATTAAGTAAAACTCTGGCTTTTGAAGGAGACATTTTCAAAAGTACATTTAAACCTGATTGGGTAAGAATCCCAAAACACCACTCTTGATCTATATTGAACCAACTTATCCTATGTCACTAAATAAATAGGCTGGTAGAATTAGACCAACTAAATGCTGTCATCTGATGTACAAGAGAGCATACCTTTGCTAATATTTTGACAGCTCACAGCACAGTCTCTACAACAACTCCAAGTGGAGAGTCAGCTGCAAGGCTGGTGGAAAAAGCTGTAGCTCTGGTGACCAAAGAATCTATTTAAAATCTTACCAGCAATGTGACCTGAGACAGCTTCAGCTCCCTGTGCCTCAGTTTCCTAACTTATAAAGTAAGGTGACAATTCTAATTCATAGAGTTGTTGTGAGAAAGAAAAGATCTAAATATATGAAATCTTAAAATTCAGGGCCTGGCACACAGTAGGCACAAAATAAACATTTGCTGAATGGGTGAGTATCGAGGAAATAAATATAAATAATTCACTGTTTGCTGAAGTTTAAAATGGTAAATGAAGAATGAGTCCTCTCTTTTCCTCTCTCTTTTTCCACCTAGACTTCAGTCCTTCAGTTATTACTGGCAAAATGTTACTAATTGACTGTGATCCAAAACAGGAAACTGTCTTAAAGGAAATTTTCATATTCTACTTTAAAGTAAAAATCCAAAGTTGAGCTCACCCCTGGAAAAATTAGCCTGGCCAGTCTGTCTTCATTTTAGTTCCTCCTCACATAAGGAGGTGGAGAGGGAATGCTGAGAAGGAGGCCAGAATAGGAGCAAAAGGAGATTGGGCAATGGATCCCAGGGTTGGTGAGCTAGGATGTAAATGGAAGAGTATACTAGATTGCTTTTACCCTTACCATTTAAAAATAAACCTAAATCAGAAATAAAAATAAAAAGCACCACATCACTGTTTTTTCCTAAGATCCAAAGGGTGAACTGTGATATGACTTTAAGGGTAAGAGTTAAGAATTCTGACCAAAATTAGGGCCTCAGTTCCTGGCATTTCATCATTAGTATCTTATTTCTTTGGGGTTAAAGGCTTCTTTTTCAAAAGTTCCTTATTTTTTCCAGCTTTATTGAGATAAAATTGACATAAAACATTGTGTAAGTTTAACGTGTACATGTGATGACTTGATACACTTATACATTGTAAAATGTTTACCTCAGTAGGGTTAGTTATCACCTCCATTACCTCATGTAATTACCATTTCTTTTTTGTGATGAGAACATTTAATATCTACTCCCTTAGCAACTTTCAATCATATAATACAGTATTGTTAACTATAGTCACCATGCTATACTTTAGATCCCCAGGACTTATTCATGTTATAAGTGGAAGTTTGTACACTTTGGCTGACATCTCCCCATTCCCACCCCCCCAGCCACTTACAACCACCATTCTACTTTGTTTCTGTGAGTTTGGGTTTTATAGATGCTACATATAAATTATATCATACAGTATTTGTCTTTCTCTGTCTGACTTATTTCACTTAACTTAATGCCCTCAAGGTCCATCCATATTGTTGCAAATGGCAGGATTTCCTTCTTTCTCATGGCTCAATAATATTCCCTTGTGTATATATGCCTCACTTTCTTTATCCATTTATCTGTAGACTGACACTAAGGTGGTTTCTATATCTTGGTTATTGTGAATAACATGGCAACGAACATGGGAGTGCAATATCTCTTTGAAGACTTGATTTCATTTCTTTTGGATATGTACCCAGAAGTGGGATTACTGGATCATATGGTAGTTCTATTTTTAATTTTTTGAGGAATCTTCACACTGTTCTCCATAGTGGCTGCACCAGTTTACATTTCCACCAATAGTACACCAGGGTTCCCCTTTCTCCACATCCTTGCCAAAATTTATCTGTCTTTTTTATAATAGCCATTCTAACAGGTGTGAGGTAACATCTCATTGTGGTTTTGATTTGCATTTCCCTGATGACTAGTGATATTGAACATCTTTTCACATACCTGTTGGCCACTTGTGTATCTTCTTTGGAAATGTGTCTACTCAGTCCCTCTGCTCATTTTTTTTTTAAGAAGATGTTGGGGGTAGGAGTTTATTAATTAATTAATTAATTTTTGCTGTGTTGGGTCTTCGTTTCTGTGTGAGGGCTTTCTCTAGTTGTGGCAAGCGGGGGCCACTCTTCATCACGGTACGCGGGGCCTCTCACTATCGCGGTCTCTCTTGTTGCGGAGCACAGGCTCCAGACACGCAGGCTCAGTAGTTGTGGCTCACGGGCCTAGCTGCTCCGTGGCATGTGGGATCTTCCCAGACCAGGGCTCGAGCCCGTGTCCCCTGCATTAGCAGGCAGATTCTCAACCACTTCGCCACCAGGGAAGCCCCCACTCTGCTCATTTTTTAATCAGAGTTTTTGTGTGTTTGTTTTTGCTATTGAGTTTTATGAGTTCCTTCTATGTTTTGGATATTAACTCCTTATCAGATATATGATTTGCAAATATTTTCTTACATTCCATAGGCTGCCTTTTCATTTTTTTAAATTATTTATTTTGCTGTGCAGAAGATTTTTAGTTTGATTTAGCCCCGCTTGTTTACTTTGGCTTTCGTTGCTTGTGCTTTCAGTGTCATGGCCCCCAAAATCATTGCCAAGACCACTGTCAAGGGGCTTTTCCTCTATGTTTTCTTCTAGAAGTTTTATAGCTCTAGATCTTATGTTTAATTCTTTAAATCCATTTCAAGTTAATGTTTTGTGAGTGGTGTGAGATAGGGTCCATTTTATTCTTCTGCATGTGATTATCCAGTTTTTCCTACACCAATTATTGAAGAGATTATCCTTTCACCATTGAGTATCATTGACTCCCTTGTCAATATTAGTTGGCTGTATAAGCAAGGGGTTATTTCTGTGTTCTTGATTCTGTTCCATTGGTCTTTGTGTCTATTTTTATGCCAGTACCACACTGTTTTGATTATTATACGTTTGTAATAACATAGTTTGAAATCAAGAAGCGTGATGCCTCTCACTTTGTTCTTTTCAGGATTACTTTGGTTCTTCAGGGTCTTTTGTAGTTCCATACAAATTTTAGTATTTTTTCTCTATTTCAGTGGAAAATGCTATTGGAATTTTGATAGGAATTGCATTGAATCTATAGTTGGCTTTCAGTAGTATGGACATTTTAACAATATTAATTCTTCTAATACATGAACATTAGATATATTTCCTTTTATTTGTGTCCTCTTCAATTTCTTCAAATTGAACAATCTCATGCAAAATGATTCAATATTTTTGCAGATTATATTATATTATAAATTGTTACAAGGTAATAGCTAAAAATTCCCTGTGTTCTACAATGTATCCTTGTTGCTTATCTATTTTATTCATAGTAGTTTGTATCTGTTAATCCCTTACCCCTAGTTTGTTCCTCTCCCCTTTGGTAACCACTAGTTTGTTCTCTATATCTGTGACTCTGTTTATGTTTTGCATATACATTATTTTTTAGGTTCCACATATAAGTGTTATTATACAGTATTTGTTTGACTTATTTCACTGAGCATGATATTCTCTAGGTTCATCTGCATTGCTGCAAATGGCAGAATTTCATTCTTTTTTATGGCTGAGTAATATTCCATTGTGTATATATACATATATCTATATCTATATCTATATCTATATCTATATATATATATACTGCATCTTCTTTATATATTCATCTGTTGATGGGTACATAGTAACCTCTAATGGTTTTTTTAATTTCTGTGGTATCAGTTGTAATATTTCCTTTTCATTTCTGATTTTATTTGTTTGAATCTTCTCTCTTTAAATTTAGTCAGTTTTTGTTGTCTTCAAATTAAAAAACAGCTCTTAGTTTCATTGATTTTTTTTTTTTTTTGGTCTCTATTTCATTTATTTCTGCTCTGATCTTTATTTCCTTTCTTCTACTAAATTTGGGCTTAGTTAATTCTTCTTTTTCTAGTTCTTTGAGGTGTAAAGTTAGGTTATTTATTTGAGATCTTTCTTTTTTCTTAATGTAAGTACCTATTGCTAAAGCTTCCCTCTTATAAGTGCTTTTGCAGCATCCTATAAGTTTTGGTATGTAATGTTTCCATTTTTGTTTGTTTTCAAGATATTTTTAAATGTTCCTTTTGATTTCCTCCTTGACCCATTGGTTGTTCAGGAGTGTGTTGTTTAATTTCCACATGTTTGTGTGAATTTTCCAGTTTTCCTTCTGTTATTGATTCCTAGTTTCATACCTTTGTGGTCAGAAAAGTTACTTGGTATGACTTCAGTCTTCTTAAATTGGCTAAGAATTGTTTTGTGATGTGATCTTTCCTGGAGAATATTCCATGTGGAACTTGAGAAGAATATATATTCTGCTGCTGTTGAATGGAATGTTCTATATACGTCTGTTAGGCCCATTTGCTCTAAAGTATAATTCAAGTCCAGCATTTCCTTCTTTTATGTCTGGGTGATCTATCTATTATTGAAAGTGGGGTTATTGAAGTCCCCTACTATTATTGTACTGTTGTCTATTTATTTCTCCATTCAGATCAGTTAGTGTTTGCTTAATATATTAGATTAGCCAAAAATTTCATTTGGATTTTTCCATAAGATGTTACAGAAAAAGCTCATCCCAGACTGCCCTCAGCCCACATGCCAGCCAGCTCCATTATGGTGACCCACAGCCCCAGCATTGTGGACTGAATGTCTGGCTCAAGATGTGATGAAGGAGGTCGGAGGCCCTCACATCATGGGCCTCTGTGTGCTCAAGTGGGGCTATAAATTCTTTGCTGACCTGCTGGATTACATCAAAGCACCGAACAGAATTAGTGATAGATCTATTCCCATGACTGTAGATTTTATCAGACTGAAAATCTACTGTAATGACCAGTCAACAGGTGACATAAAAGTAATTTTTGGAGATAATCTCTCAACTTTAACTGGAAAGAATTTCTTGATTGTTGAAGATACAATTGGCACTGACAAAACAATGCAAACCTTGCTTTCCTTGGTCAAGCAGCATAATCCAAAGATGGTCAAGGTTGCAAGCTTGCTGGTGAAAAGGACCCCTCGAAGCATTGGTTATAGACCAGACTTTGCTGGATTTGAAATTCCAGACAAGTTTGCTATAGGATATGCCCTTGACTATAATGAATACTTCAGGGATTTGAATCATGTTTGTGTCATTAGTGAAACTAGAAAGGCAAAATACAAAGCCTAAGATGAGAGTTCAAGTTGAGTTTGGAAACACCTGTAGTCCCATTGAAGTCACCAGTAAAATTATCAAATGTTCTAGTTCTGTGGCCAGCTGCTTAGTAGAGCTTATTGCATGTATCTTCGAGGAATTGTATCTGTTTTGCATTTTAGAAAGGTCAGTTGCTGCACTCCTGAACTCTTTATTTGCACTGTGAGTCTATAGACTATCAGTTCCCTTTGGGTGGATTGTTATTTCACTTGTGAATGAAAAATCTCTTAAACCACACCACTATTGAATGAAAATATTGAAATTGTATCTGTAAGAAACATTTAAAGAGATGAATATATTAGTTTTTTAACTGAGATTTTAATTTTTATATAGTGTCAGGAAAGAACAGAAGTGATTGAATACTGTTAATTATACCACTGTGTGTTTAGAAAAGAAGCAGTTTCATATCAGTGACAGCATTTAGAGGTCATTATGTCATATAAACCATATGTCCTGGCATTATTTTAGTAGGCTTCAGTAGTATTAATTGTATTTTCCCACTTGTTCAGATTATTTCTGGTGAATCTTTGTCAGCAGTTCCTTTTAAATACAGGTCAATAAGTTCCAAAAACCTACCACTTTTTGAATTCTTCAATGTAAAAAATGCTTAAAAATAAAGGCTGTGTCTTTAAAAGAAAAAAATAGGTTACAGAAAAACCCAAAATAACTTTTTGGCCAACCCAATATTTAGGTGCTCTGAGGTTGAGTGCATATCTATTTATGACTGTTAGGTCCTCTTGATGAATTGACCCCTTTGTAATTATAGAGTGACCTTCTTTGTCTCTTGTTATAGTTTTTTTCTTAAAGTCTATTTTGTCTGATATGAATATAGCCATCCCTCTTCTCCTTTGGTTTCCATTTGCATGGAATATCTTTCTCCAATCCCTTTGCTTTGAGTCTATATGTGCCCTTATAGCTGAACTGAGTCTTCTATAGGGAGCATATTGTTGGTTCTTGTTTTTTTTTTTAATCCATTCAGCCACTCTATGTCTTTTGAGTGAAGAATTTAGCTCATTTACATTTAGAGTAATTTTTGATAGGTAAGGACTCACTAATGCCATCTTATTAATTGCTTTCTAGTTGTTTTGTATTTTTCTTATTCAGGGGTCCCTTATAAAAGTGCCAATAGTCTTGAAAGTTAATCAACTTTTTACAATGGTTTTAATAGAATGTCAGAGCCTAAAGGACCTTTCTTAGGTGTATTTACTTATTCTTTTTCTGTGTCTCCCATGAAAATAGTTTTTTATGATCATATAAAAATAAATGTTCATTTTTTAAAGTTTAGCAACATAAACACACAAAGAAGGACTTAGAGTCACCTGAATTTATTCAACACACCTGAGATATTCACCATCAATATCTTGGTAACTATCTTTAAAAATTATAGTAGTAGTCTTGGTACCATAATTTGCCAACTGGGTGATTTTGGTAGGTTGTTATCTAAGCCTGTTTCCTCACATATAAAATAGGGATAATACCCCCTGGGTAGCAAACCTTGTCAATGTGTCTGTGCTTTGCCCAGATTCCCTCAAATATCTTTTACTATTTTTGTGTGCCCATCTTCCCAGCATCTATGTATTTTGCTTTTAAAGGCCAGCACTTGCGAATGTTTTTACGAAGACTGTCCCTGGGAGACTGGAGCCACTTTTCCTAAAAGTGCAGACAAATCAGAAAATCCTGTGAAATTTAAATCTCTCCAGGGCAGCCGTTAACCAATGGCTGATGCAGAAGTATAAAAGCTCAGCTCTGATGTATAATTTACATGTTAGAGCCTCCCTGAAGGATAAAACTAAGGTTGGGACTTAGCCCAAAATTGCACCTTTTTTTGCTTCTTCTCCTTCTGTATCCTACTTGCCCCACTCTTTC